ATAACTAGCTGGACATGTCCAGTATATCCTTATTTACAACATTTCCATTTTCTAGTAGCACAATTTATTTACTCCAAAATTTCTACACCTTTCTATCACTTACATTTATCCTTTTCCCATGATATCATTTATCTGAAGATGCAATATGCGCGTCATTTAAACAATATTTGTTTTAATTCATGATTAAATAATTCAGTTTCGGTTAAACTCGTAAGTCTAATGCTTAATTCTGGCTATTCCTTTTAAATTTCGTAAGTCACAGATAATAGAGTATTACAAAAGTTTGACTGATATCGCGACATGTAACAAAAGAATATATGCCGCCAATCCCAATCATTAACTAGAATTTTACTTAGAAAAAAAAAACAAACATGAAAAAGTCAAAAAAGAAAAAATGAAAAAGTCAAGTTGAACAATACAAAGCATAACAAATTACCACCCATGAATTCACTCCTCGTGGCATCAGAAAATTATTCGCTGTTATGGGCAACTGTTTTCCAGCAGTCAGACTGGCAACCGGAGCATGTGGAAGTGGTAATGCGGATGGGCCTGCGACACGTGTTTCTGACTGTGGATTTGAACTTGGTGGCCAATTATAAAAAGACGAGCTGCCACTGTTGTCCAACAAACTTTTCTTGCCCTGGAACATCATTTAATAATAAAAAGATTTAAAAAATGATTGTTATTTTAAAGATATCACCACGAATCAGTAGTCACTGAGCACTAAAAAGATCGGAAACTTAATCCCGGCTTTATCAATTTAATTTGTAGTAAAATTTCGTAGTCCTGAAATTTGAGAGCACGCTGATTTGGCTCCAATTCCAACTGAACCATTTTCCAATTATGAACCAAGAAAAACATATTCAGCAACAAACAGAAATCAATTTGTTAATCCGACGTCTATCTGACAAATAATATATTCAATACAACCTGAAAATCAACAGTTGGAGAAGGACTGCTTGGCTCTGGTGGTATACTAGATGGTGGCCAGCCATCAGTAAAATCTACAACTGAGCTGCTTGTTGAAGTGGTGATCGGCTTATTACGACGCTCCATACCAATTGCTCCTGGACCACGAACTAAAACAAAAACATAATGCTACCCATAATTCAAATCAATTGACACTCGGATCTACTTCGGTCAACTACTCAATTTTAAAATTGAATCTGACACTCGATATGAACTCATTGACAGTTCGAAATAAATACCACTAACAAAATATATAAATATACTCCCTTCCTTCCCTTATCTCCCTTATTCATTTCTTCTCGCTTCTCTATTTTTAAATTATAAGCATATTTGAATGGTGCGTGAAAAAATCTACAAGACCTACAAAAATAATAAAAAAATAGTATCATATATGATAAAACCAAAAGAATGTTTAGTCAAAGTATGAAAAGAGTGTCAAATGAATGACAAACATTGTCCAACAGGTGCAGGTGTTGTACACAGACTTCCAGATGCTGATGTTTGCGTTGGTGAGTTATCCGACGGATAAGCACGGATTGCATTAAGATGTTTCACGGAATTTGAGTCTGATAGCAGCGACGATATCATTACATCTGCCTTTCCAACATCTGACACTAACCGTGCTAAATTTAACACAATAACTACGTTAAATCAAGCAATTTTGCGTAATCACTTTATCATTATGGCAATACCTGCAGAATTTCCTTTCGAAAAAAATGGCGAAAATGGATTGGAAAAAATCGAACTTTGCACTTCTTTCAAGAAATCCAACTATATTTAATATGACCAGCAGCTGTACTAGCAACTAGCACGTTTTTTTTCTACTGAAATTATTCAGTAGTTTATTGATCCTCGAAAGCAAATTTTCTCAATTTTTCAATACACAAGACTTACTGTTGATATCACCAACAATACTGCTCAATTTGTTGTAAAATTGGACGTATGGAGTCTTGCTGAACGTAAGTTCTGTCGTACTACTCATATCAGGCATACTACGTGTAAGAGCTGTCAGTTGTTGACGGATTTTCTTTCGACTCACAAGAACTTCTACTGCAGAGCCCTTTTCCACAATTCGGTGAGTAAAACTGTAACACTAGATCATTATTAGTGGAGTGATTCATCAATCTTATTGCTAAAGATGTAAGTGATAAAGTAAGGTTTTGACGATTCCAACGATACCATTTGACTAATTAGAATGTGGACCAAGTCCCACATTCTAATTAATCAAGTAATACTGTTGGAAAAAATGAAATATAATATTATAAAGTGCTTCATTTTTAAGCAGAACTTATTACTACTAGTTCAAATTTGACTAACGTTGATTAAATGGCATGATCTAGCAAAACTGTTCGTGACTCACAAAAATTTTCCCACGACAAGTTTTAGCAATTTATGCTTAAGATGCAATAATTTAATTTACGCTTAAGATGCAAGAATTGTATTACTATATATACTTACGCAACAGCATCGGCAATTTTCACGGTGGTAACATTAACTCGTCGATTCAGATTATTCAGATCTGTTTCCTGATCATCGCGTGATTTATCCAGTTTACATAACAAATGCTCCTTCATTGCATCCAATGCTTTATGATACTCACTAAAGGTATCTTCTATTTCTGTTTTAATTGCTTCATACTGTTCAGTAAGAACGCGCTGGCGGGTTGGCACAGAATTACAAGCAGCTTCCACAGTTTTTGACTGCAAAATAAAGGGTGACGTCATTAAATGAATTACAATCTAGTATTGTAGCACCTGAAATGGATGAAAAATAATGGACCAACGTAGCAATGAAGCTAGTGACTGGTGCAATAACAAACTCGAACGAATCAGTAATGCCATTTGTTATCTTCTTGAAATATATCATCAATGTTCCCCATAGAATGGGCTGGAGAAATCCGTGAAAATTAGTAAAATTCATAAAGTTTCCGTAGTTAATATACTAACCTTGGCTTCCGCCCCATTCGCAATATCCTTTAGTTCGAGTCTGACCAAATTAGCTACTGTTTCATCGATATTTACCAAATTATGGTGTCTGATGTCAGCATGATCTGCATGGCACTGTCCACAAATTGGTGATTCACAAGTAGCACAAAGAAGTGAATATGGCATTTGGGGATGCAACACACACATCACTGGATCACGAGGCAATTCCGACGGATTCTGTGCCAATTCAGTGTACGTTAATACCTAAACATGGTTTAAATCTATGAAGGCGCCAAAAGGTACTTCTAGCATTACACCAATCCAATCTCAGAAAATATGGGACATTGGAGTTGCACAGCGAAACCCAGCCATACCGTGTGTCCATCGAATAATTTCATATCACGATGTGCTTGATAACAATTTTTGCACAAATCACTTGCACATTGCTTGCACACGGCCATTGCAAGCTGTTCACTCTTACATGCACGACATGTCCGTGTACCTTTTACAGCGCTTACACCATCAACTTCATGCAAGCGAACAAAATCAAGCAAGAGGTGATTCACAAATCGGACATCATTTCCTACGTGACTTTCCTGAAACATCATTTTGTCGATTGAATTAAAAAAAAAAACACAATTTTTTAAAAAATAAAGATCAATCTGTGAGAGGAAAAGTTTTACAATCTGTGCACATTTTCTCCGAATTAGGATATACCAGAAATGTCTTCCAAGATTCGTCAATTCAGGATAAAATGTGCTGGAAATGAATAACGCAAGCAAAATTTCTGTTACTTTGCTAATTGTATGCTACAGTTATTCGAACAGAAAGACTTATTCAGCAACCTGATGGCACGTTGGACACCTAATGACTCCTGGCGGTGTTGGCCTCATCTCACATGTGCTTTCTAGTTCGAAATCCATCGTTAATGCGATTCTTGCACGCTCTGATTCACCTTCTCGTCGTCCATCCAGTTGGGCTATTATGCAATCTTCACACATTGAATGAAGACAATCCAATACTCGAGGCTAAAATCGACACATATAATTAAATACCAGAAATATACAGAATATCAAAAACTTGAAATTCCAAAAATTTTATACTATATTGACACTGTTATTAATCAGTTCGCAGTATTCAATCTAGGAAATTCATACAAATTACAATAAAGATCAATTTTCAGATAACTACCTCTAACAGAAGAAAATATGTATCACTTAAATACCTTTCTATATTGTTTGCCGCAGTATGGACAAACAGAACTGTCAACACTTGGTATCATTCCGACATCAAGTAATGGACTTGGTGATCGCGTCGAACTTATGTCATTTCCCATTATATTCGTACTGGAACTGATCCCCGCATTTTTATCATCCTTTAGTGATGGTGGACTTTCTGACTGTAATAATTTTTGACTGCATTAACAAACAGTCTAGTTCATTCAAATCTCATTAAAAGTAAAAAATGTCAGTAATAAAATATATTGTTGGAGCATTGCTCGAATTCCAGCACTTTGTTTCGTTCTATCCCTTCCTGGTGGAAGGCTTCTGCACTTTTTATGAAAATCTGTAAAAACACCTCGAATTTCTAACAAAATAGATAATTAAAAACTAAAATATCAAAATAAAAAACTCAGTCAATGCAATATATGAAAAAACATTCTTTACAAAGCCTACAAAAAAAAACCTAGATGTTTACTGATTTTTCATAAAACAACAAAAAGCTAAGTAATAAATGTAATGTAAGCAGTCGCAGTGTATCAAAAAAGTAAGCGTGTGTCGTGCTTTTCTTTCCAGTCTATTACCCTCTACCCGATCATCCTACTTTTCTTTTGCAAAGCATCATATTCGATATAATGTAAAATATCATACTTTATCATCTGCAACTCCGAAAATATAACTGTTCTGCTGCTGTGACGAGAGATCTAGCGTTGCTGCAGTGGTAGTTGACGGTGTCATCACTGGCGCCACAGTTGTCCCACCGTTTTCCTCCATTAATCCATTGGCATACACTTCCATTCCGTTCCGGAAATAAACTTCCTTCTATTCAACTGTTTGCAGATCAGTTTGTTGCCCACACTATCTGATTTCCTCTTTTTAAGCCGTGCGGAACTTACTCGATGTTTTTTTGATACATAAATATGAGGCGGAAACCTAAAATGAATGAGTGCAGGATATGTAATTATTGCACGTAAAACGTAACCTGAAAAGGGCGGGGAAAATCCGATCCATTCTACATAACGGAGTAAATGTATGTTGAACATTTTTAGTTAGTGATATTGATGATAATCCAAAGGATGAATTTAAATAAGCAACTACACGTGAGAAACCATCACCAATCGCTAATTTCTGCAAAGACCATTTCCAATTAAAAGACTACGCTAACTCTATATGAGCGCGACTCCACGCAGACGCACGTAACGGTATTATATGAAAGAAAGGGTACGGTATCGATCGCATTCACTGTGTCAAAAACCTCATGCTTGTAGCAGCGAAAAAGCCCCATCAATAATCAGATAATGGAATAGCTTGTACGTTTGTTGTTTAGAGATAATGATGCGGGGAGAGAAGGGCAAGTCGAGCTATGTGCATGTCCTGAGTTCCGGACAATCACCGAAATACAGGTATCCAATTGTAACGCAAAGTAAAAGTAAGTTTCTTTTCTCAGTGTTAAAGTGTGTAGATAATATTGAATGATATTTGACGTTTGACCAAAAATGGATTGAATTCCTATGCATACATCAATTTTCTGGATGGGGGCGTTACATTTTTAATAAAATTTATTGGTCGAACATAAAAGAGGAAACATTTTGAAACAAGAAAACATCAATAAGGTAACGAATGAAACAGGGATATTAAGAAAATGTGTTTAACTTTATCCATAACTTCAGTACCAGAAGAAAGTCTTTGGAGAATCGTGATCCAACATACTGGAAAGAATTCCGACAATTTACCATGCAGAGATCCAAATTAATACAAAAATACAGAAAATGTTGAGAGAATGGAATAACTGGTGGATTTAAGAATGAAAAAAACTTGGCAAAATTAAATTTCGAGTAGAAACTGAAAAGATAAGTAAAACGCTAAATAAAATCATGGCTTAATCTCCTGCTGAACCATTACATCCTGAATCCAAAAATGATGAGACTGCGCAACAAATACGAATCTGTAGCATTATTGAGACACTAGGAATACTTTGAATCAGTAAGCTCGAGCTTTCATCAATTTTTGCTACGAATAATACGATTGTTCATGTAGGCGAGGAAATGAATTTAAGTAAAACTTAGAATATCCGCATTTAGCAATCATTTTTAACTCCTACTAAAATAACAGTATCCTCTCTAATTTGTCAAATCAGATAAATAACCATAGCCGAGAATAGAAATGCCGCAAATTTATAAGTTAAATGGCTTTTATATGCAGATCTGAAAAGCAGACCACTTCAATCCCTTTAAAATGTTCCTCAATATCTTTCAATTTTCCGTGTGGCACAGCTATCGCGCGGCAGCATTTCTTGTCGTCGAACAAATCAAGAATAAAATTTCTACTGCATTCCACCACTTCTCTCATTTTTGCATGCCAGATTCGATCAATGTACTCCCTGAAAAAAAAATACTTAGAATTAGAAATATAAAACACTACCAAATAAAAAATAGTCCAGCAATTACTGCTTATTATTTCTCTCTTGAAATCGAGCCATGTCACGGCTATTGATGGTCCTCCTCTGCTCTTAATCCATAGATTCAATTTGGGACTTACCTCAATTGATAACCTTCACTAACGAAACTAAGAATTAAAACTTCTTTTAGTAACAAATTTTTCTCGTTTGCTCGACTTGGTCTAATTTAATTATCGTGATTAAGCCGAATAATTTGATGTAGCCTCTGCATTTGACACAACAATATTTATACTATGCTATTGCTATTAATCATAATGGTTGATAAAATAGAGAGATCGCCGCTGTTGACTGTTCTCTAACAAAGATAATAAAATTCATAAGGTATTTTAAAAACAGTTTACAGCCAAAATTGATGTGACAATTGTCGGAATTCGTTGAAAACAGCTCGATGTGCAGCATTAATTACCGTATCTTCGGCCTGTATTATCTCTGATATGAAGCTTCGCTTCGCTGCTTCAAACTCATTCTCATCTACGCGCTCCAATTCATTGAACTAAATTTTCTACGGTGCAGTAATCAGTAAATTTCAAGTGATAAGACTTCTCTGACATAAAAATTCCGAAGGTGACCGTATTTTTCTCTTAACTCCCTTATTTCAAATAGTAATAAATGCCGATTTCTGAATAATATGCATGAAAATTCTAACCACAACTTCCTTGGCCTTTTCATAAGCTTGCTCGAGCTGAGCACTTCGATAAATACCAAAACTGAGCAGCTGGTTATCCAGATCTACATCAATGCCTACGCTATATGCTAAGCCATTTCCACGTATCGCTTTAAATAAGATACCCTCCATTTGTGATAAATATTGAGCAATGAGTTGCACAGCTAATCCTTCTTTGCTACCCAGTTGATATTTGAATGGTATAGACTGCAAAAAATATTAACGAATTCCTGCCAAGTTACTGCTGTTCAATTCCTATTCAATGCAAGTTATTAATTACCCCACAACTAGTAAGAAATTTGCTCCATATCAAAATAGTAGTCTTCGTTATCATAAAGCAGAAACAAAATAATGGATTCGAAACCTCATTCATTCATAAATCTTTTCCACCTACGATTTACCTTTTACTTCATGAAACTCATTTTTGACCTCATTGATTGGTGGACAAATAGACTGACATAGTTCAAACCTTTATGATTCGCCATACGGTAATCAACATAATTAATGTAAACTTATGTATCATAAAATATCTGTGATTGAAGCATTAAATATCAAATTTTTTGACTTCCAGCTTCAATTTAATTTATACTCACAATCTTCAATTTTCAAATATCACATTTCGGTATTTCCTGATTTTAAACTTGAATCTCATTTATTTTCAGTTTTCCGACAATCACTCTATTTTCTGTTCCACAGAAATAATAAAATAATTAAATGGCTATACTTGTTTAAGAAAAGATGATTCAGTGGCAGCAACAGCAATGACACGCTGCTTTCCAAAATTATCATATATTACTGCTTCTCCAGGAAAATTCTAAAATTATTGATAGAAATCAGTTTATCGCAGATGCAGTATATAATAAACAAGAGAGTTTTGCGTACTCATCCGTAGCGAACCGTTATGAAAAGTTCGGAATATATGAATTTAAATTTAAGGAACAATGAATCTGAATGTGAATTATTACAATTGGTAGACATTTGCATACTCGAAAGAATATAAAAGTTATCTAAGTTTCACTTTTTGTTCTCGTGTTTACTTTGCTCTGATATTTTTTTAATCACAATAAAGAGTTCTTGTTCGGTTACAATAAAAAATTAACTTACTCGGAAACTTGTAGAAAGCTCACATATAGATTTACGGTCACGATAAAGCCATGCAAGACTAGTCGGTAAAAAGGGCATAATTTTCTCCGTGTTGCAAATAATGTGCACATTTATCGGAGCATTTATTAATGCTTCACGTAGTTTCTCCAGTTTACCGACAACCTATAAATGACAGAATAAAAAATGACAGAATAAACTGACAGAATAAAAAAGTTTTCTGATATGTATAGGACATATTAACATCGTCATTTATTCCATACTTTGCTTCTTCAGATATAGTCAATGGTTATCAAACTGATATGGAATCAAGGAAGAATAATAAAGAAATGCAGACCCGAAAGTCGGAAGACGGCTAGATGTACTTGTATGGTCTGCAGAAGAATATGCAAGTCTGTCGTCCCTCCTTGTTGGCTTTTGTATGTGATTTAATGGTATTTTAACTGATTTTGTAGGATTATTCAAAAAAGTTGCTAAAAATTTTATATAAAATTCAAAGAGGAACAAAGACAATCTAGAAATATCAAGTAATAAAGAAGTACTTACGTAGGTGGGATTTTCTTTAGTTAACATGAGCACATTTTTATGGAATTCCTCTAACTGGACTAAACCATACATATAATCGTTGCTATCTAAAGTTACAAACAAGTTTGTGGCAAAATATATTAATGAATATGATCTTGCATTAAATTCCTGTTAAAAAAATATGATCTTGAATTAAATTCCTGTTAAAAAAAATCTAAGTATTCCTTATTAATATTTTGAGCGCAATAAATTAAATTCCCACTCAAAATCAATCTTAAGTTAATTTCACATCCCAACTGTGGAAACTCATACCTTTATGGAATATGGCATTATGAAGAATAGCATTTCGCATTTCACACCCATCTCGCTTTTCTTCATCAGCTTGACCTATCAAGCTTTGAGCAGCTACTTTCGCACGTTCTGCTTCAAAAGTGATTCCTTTAACAAAAGTCGTAAGCCATGACAACATAGTGACATATCGTTCGGGAACAGTCTAAAATATGACAATCAGTTTTGTAACATAAACTCTACAATTTTAAATTTTATTCAAAGTTTTCTTAGCATCTTCTTTGCTTCTATTTTCTCATTTTCCACTCACTTTTCTATCTTTATTTCTAAAAGATACTCTGGAATAGATTATTCTTTAAGAAGCAGAATTTTTTTAAAATAATTCGAATTTACAAGTTGCACAGCTTACTTTTAAGGTAAGTGAGCAAAACCGCTCAAAATGATTTAAAATACCAATAGTTCCGCAATATGATATCAAATCCCGAGTGTACAACTTTGCTATTTCACCATACGATAATTTCTAAAAATGCATACGAATTCAAAAAATTTGGAAAGTGATTTTCGTGAATATCTAAATCCCTGAAAGAAACCACATTATCATTACTTCCATGGTACTGAGATTTTCAATCGATCTTCACAGAAAATTTTTAAATCATAAAATACAGTCAAAAATGGCAAATGTTAAAGAACATATTCCAAATAAAACATATCTAAAATAAACGGATGAACTCAAACACTTACTCTACCATCCACAACAGCCGAACTCTGAAACATCAATTCAAAGTAAAGCATCATCCATAATCGCAATTCTAACGGTATAAGCTTCGTATCCCAAACCAACATAAACTAAAAATGTCATTTATTAAATTAATATTAGCAGTTATAATGCAAATAATTAACTGTAATATGCTCCTATTTTAAAACAACGACACATGAAGGAGGCGATTATATGCTGTCTAGTGACAATCTGAATATAATCAACTCAATTTCATGAACTTGTACTATATATTAAAGCTAGCCATTATATTCCATGCTTCTGGATTAGGTTATCAACAAAAGAAATCATTTAAGGAAAAAGAGAGACACACCTCAACAAAATGTGTTTCGACATTATGTATACAGACTGGCAATGGTAACTTAAATATTTCATCATTATTCTGACCTGTCCGCGCATGTAATGTTTGCACATTAAACATTGTGAAATTCTCTAGCTCATGTATCATCATTTCGGAAAGTAGTTCATATGATGGTTTTTGGACCTGAAACATCTCAAGCCGTTATTTGTCCGCAAAAGTTAAAGCTGACAGCAGGAAAAAGTATAACCTACCATTCAAGAACATAAATTTTAAAAAATACAGATATTTAAATATCAAAACATAATTCATCGTCTTCGATATTATGAGAATCATTATCATACTGATATGGTACATACAGCATTTTGCTACAATTTGTCACAAATATTTTTCAAAATATCATTTCAAGAGAAGTTGAATAATAAAAAAAAAGAACTAACTACAATAATTTATCCATGCTAAATAAAAAATACTCGCAGTTATCAAAAAAAACGAACCGTTGTTTCACGTATCGCTTTTTCTAATTTTTCGGCACATCGCCGAAGTCCGTCTTTCCCTAATTTTTTACATTGTTTCTCAATTCGTTTTTTTTCCTGAAGTAAAAAAGTTCTAGTACCAAGCATTTCATGTCCAAATTATCCATTTAAAACAAACTAAAAGTATAATGCACTATTCAAGAGCACAAAAACTAGTAAAAATGTTATGTATTTCGAACCGTTGTAGCGATTCTGGTGACTTCATCTCGAGAAGGAAAACCCATTACACAGACACATTTGTTGGTCAGATACTTACGCGCTAGTCTAATCCAATCCTCAGGTTGCAGCGACAACATCCTGCAGTATAGTCTCTTCACTACAACTCATTATTAATTATTTAAAATACAATTCATCCACGAGATTTCTAAGTCACTGAAACAGAAATTAGTAAAAAAAGGAACGTTGGGAGACACAAACTTTCGCAACTCTGTAACATGATCTAATCGCATTGGAAGTTCTTCATATTTTCCGTAAATTTGATGCATGCATATTACTTCGAAAACAAAATTATGGCAATCTGTTTCCATCTGAAATAGCATCCTACTATATTCGTTGATAAAGGAAAACACAAACATTATGGTAAAAGCACCTTTCCTCATATATAATTATTTAATCTAACCAACAAAGCCACGGCAAAACATGATAAATAAATGACTTATACTTCAATTGTACAATGCTAAAAAAGCCGATACTGCATAGAATTATTAGCACAGAAATATTTTCATAAGTAAATACCCTTGAAACACTTTTGTCAATTAAGTGTGTAATCATATTCGTCATTCGTACTGCGTCAAAACTGTTTTCAAACGTTTGTGGTAAAGTTTTGTTGAACAGTCTGGAAATTGAAAATCAAGAAAATAATTCGAAACGTAAAATATGCCAGCTTATTATAACATGAAAAGCTGTTACCAATTCCATCACCCAAAAAAGTTACAAAAATTTATCCGCGCACAGATCCTCACGCAAATATTTATTCCCAATAAAATGCAATGTAAAAATCAAAGATCACCCTCTAAAATTCTGGATTTAACCGTAGCATAAGAACGATAAAGTGAGGCTCGACTTCCTTGCTAAAATAAAATAAACAAAAGGAAACAAAAAAAAAATGATAAAAGATAGCTTGCCTTGTTTTGATGTTTTCAAGTTCATTAATAGGTACTCCGTAGAAGCATAACACTATTTCACTAATGCACTGTTCACGTATGTACAAGCGTACGAAACTTGCCAGCTGTTCATCCAGTTGCACAAAATCCTGTTCCAATGGAGAAGCAGCAGTGTCAGCCAAATAATGTGCAAGTACTCTGAGTTGTTGTAAATCTTGAAACTAAATATATTCCTATTTCAGAAAAATTCCAGAACATTGAGAAAAATGGAAATTAAAATGAAAATTATGAAATAAAAGTAGAGCAGTTCGATGAATCTACGCAAACTAGAAGTAGTTATCGAATATTATAATGTTCAAGTACGAATAACGCTTTCAAGAAATCCAGATAATAAAAGCGTTCTATTAATTATATAACTTCAAATTCTCTTAAATTAAAAAACTGCGTCTCAAAAACTTGCAGAAAATACTGTTTGTAATTATTTTATTTCATTATCAGCAGAGAATGGGTTATTCTAAGATCTGTTTCAAGTACAACGTACAGTCGATGATTTGAGAAATAAATATTGCAAAACGAACATTATTAGAGGGACCTATCCAAGCAATCTCCACTGTACCCAGTTTTTCGTCTTCACTTGGACAAACAATTTGTTTTTCTTGAGGTTCAGCGGGCATCAGCATGGGATTCTTGAATGGCTTGTTGAATAGATGTGGTACTTGCTGTTGTGATGTTTCCTCTTCAACAGAGAAAAGAAAATCAAAATGATTTTAGGAAGCTATGTGTTTCACTTATGGCACTGTCTGAATTTCAAATTATCCTGAATAAGAGAAAGAAATTTGTAATTAAACTACCGACTGATGATAAAATATGCAGCAATTTCGAATGGTCAATAGATCCACAAACAGTCACGAGCATATTGCTAATATGATAAAAATCATGGTGATATCGCCTTATCTTTTCCATATTACACGTTGTACGTAAAGCAGCCAAACGTCCACCTGTTTCCACACGATATGGATTGTCTAGATCATACTTTATAATTGTCTATTTTTTTATTGATAGTAGCCGTGTGATGATTCAAGACATCTAACATCACAGTGTAAGAATGACAACATATAAATAATGCCAAGAGAAATTTCTACTTTAAAAAAAACTTACACTCAGGATAAAATAGCTCTTTTCGTTTCCAACTCACAATGTTATTCATTTCTGATTCGTACTCTTGCATTTCACTGTAAACAACTCCTGCATCTTCGCCTTTACCATTGATGTGATGGACTTCAGTCATAAACTGAGCATCCTACAATGTCATGCTTTTTAAATAGTTTGAAATCCGTTAAATTGAGATCTGCATTCATAACTGGTTAAATAAAAAACGCTAAGTCCAGTCCAAATTTTTAAACATTTATTTACCCTCTCGATAAATTTCAGATTACAGCCATGTATATTATGCAAAAGTCTTGCAATTAAATAATGTTTAAGTTAGACAACTAGCATATAAAATTCTGGCTACTGTAAGAAGACACACACATGTAAGAAGATTGACCACTTTGACAATACAAAAATCAGCACTATTAATTAAACATTGTCAGATCTATGCAGAGATAGCACTGGACTGAAATAAAAAGAACGAATTCAAATTAATGATAATTTGAATATTTGAATCATCAACAACTGCATATAACGAACCGTTAATGTTGGCGATAACAGATGATCCAAGTAAACTGGTAAAATCTTTAGGAATCCATGACTGCCAACCTAAAAAATGTATCAGTCACTAAAAAATTTTATTTATTAATTGTAACTTATTGCGAAATGACATGTCTCGTTTAAAATAAATCTACTGCTTAAAGATGGAAAAGAAATTTATTTAGCTTCATCCAAATTTTTGCTTTCTTTCTTTTATTTTTCTGTGAATGTTTTATTCGTCGTCATGAATTAAAACAAAAGATTTGTGTTTTCGACTGTTTGGATAAGTGCATCTTAGATGATAAATTACTTACAGTAATCAATTCATAGGCAGTATGATCTTGAGCAGTAAATGCATTGGTTCCAGATGCCATACATCGATTGGCAATCAAATCCAGAATACCTTTGTACGGATATTTTTTACTGCCCATAAAAGTAAGATGTTCCAAGGTATGAGGCAAACCATCGTTATCGAGTGTTTCTGTCACTAAACATTTCAATCATTTTAGAATTTAAGCATAATTCCTCAAAATTTTTACTAACATTGAAGTAAAATAAAGCTAACCGAAGGAGATAAGACCTTTAACCAGAGGTCCCGGTGTTTCAGCAACGGCGACACGAAGTTTGGAACAATTTGACGTATAAATTACAAGTGGTATCTCTCCATTTACTTTGTAAGTCGGACCAGCTGTCCAACCTTTCTCCAATTTATTGATATGTCCTCAAAGGTAACATATTTTCATTTCTTATATTTGTTTAAATAATGTAAAAATTGGAAAAAAACAAAAAAATGTCCATTTTACCAATATTACTGCTCGTGTTCTCAAATGAAATCCTTAAATAAAAAGTAATGAACATTCGATATGTTCATTTTCATGACCAAAGTAGAATAACAAGTTGTATATATGTTACGGTACCTTTTTGTTCTGATATCCCAGCTATTATTGCGGATATAAGTAACAAATAAAAAGAAAACTAGCAGCACTACAAATAAATAAATCATCCTTTGCCAAATATAATATTATGTTATTCAATTAGAATACGATATATTATGCCAACCTAACTAACCGGTACGATGGTATCGATGCATACTGTGACGGCAGTTGTTCACCTTTGATATATAGCTATAGCTTTTCGGTAATTTATTCATTATAATAACTTAGAAGCACGTAGAAAACGTATTCAGACCACTGAATAGAAATATATG